AAGTAGGTACATTTGAATCAAATCTAGCACGAGAACCTCAATTTGAAAGAAATTCCTTTGTATGGAAAATTCAGAAAAAGAAGCTTAACATTAAAAAGTAATGTTATTTGGCAGCATCAGCTAAAAGGTAGTGCTGCTAAAACAAGCTCAGAACTTCTAAGTTATGTTCAGCCTTTGGAAAAGATTTTTGTTGAGATAATACCATGACGTAATTCATGTGTTTAGAATGAAGAGCATCCAAAATACATGATTCTGTTTGGTCTTAAAAACTCTCTTTATCCTTTTTAAGGCCTTGGTGATTCATTTTTAAAACACGTTTTAATTCGGGTTTCTACACATGAAAAGATCTTCCACCTTTTTCCATTGAGCTAGGATGACAATATGATGTTATATATGTGAAAAAAAGGATAGATTATCGATTAGATATGCTTGAAAGTCCATCAATGTTACCTTAACATTGGCGAAGGTGCTGTAGGGATTGGAACAATATAACTCTAATTCCCATTTATGAAACGATTTGTACCGTAAGATTATACCCCAAATTTACGGCAAGCGCTTTACACAACGTAAAGCCAGATACAATTTTGAGTGTGGCACTACAATAGTAAGAAGAGATACAGAGGTTTTCGGGTGAGAACCAATGTGAACTGAAACTATCCCTCCAAAACTGAATTACGGCTTAGAAAGATATGGGAATAAGTTATCTAGGTCAAAAAATGATCACATTTTAAGGAAATCCCGCTTTTGATGCGGAGCCTAAAAAAGGATTATGAAACAAATTCGCAGATATAGTCTTCAGATCAAAAATGATCACTTTTAGGAAATTTCGCTTTTGTTGTGGAGTCATAAAAAGGATTATGAAGAAAATTCGCAAAAATGGTCAATCATGCGTCGTAATCCTTGGAAATGCGAGTTATTTACTTTATTTGTCAATAGGGTGAAGCCCTATTGAAGAACCTTCACACTGGAGAAGAAAGTTTTTGACACCAGGTGACGGTATGTGTACATTTAGCATAAT